CTCCCTTCCCCGTCCTTCTCCCCAGGTCTTCTCGGCTCTCCAGTGGATCCACTTCACCATGGCCATGCTCAGGTACCACATGCTCAACCCCCTCCCCGGTCCCGCGGTGGAGCCGGGTTGTGCGAGGACGGTTTTCTCCAGGGGGAAAAAAGAGAAAAGCGCTTCTCCCGGGCGAGGAAGGAGCTCCCGTTCCGACTGTTTGCTTTGTTTCCTCAGCGTTATAGGTTCCAGCTCGATTATTGCATACGCCGTCTTTCAAAACGCCGTGCGTTCCCCCGAGGTAAGTTCTGAGGCTCCTTTCCCCTCCCAAAACCCAGGTGTTGGCACCTGGCACGTCCCGGTCCCTCGAGTGGCAGAAACCCGCGTGGGTCAGGCACTCCGCTAGGAGCAGCTGCAGGTGTCAGACTTATGCGGTTAAACCTCGTTTAACAGCTGGGACGCAAAGGGTTTGCCAAGGATTTGGCCCTTTATCTGTGATAGGGGTTGAAGGGACTAACCTTGAGCTGTCCCCACGCAGGGAGAAGCAGATCCCTGCGCTTTCTGCTGCTCCAGAAAAGTCCTCCAGTCGTTCCTGGAAGCAGGGATCTGTTGGTGTTTCCTCCTCCGTGGGGCAAACCGGCTGGAGGGCTGTGGAGCTGTGCACAAAGCCTCTGAAGTGCAAACTGGAGATGTTTCTGTAGGGAACAGTAGTTACAGGTGTCCCTCTTCAGTTATCTCTGAGCAGTTTTTCCAGGCAGATGTGCTACTAAACCTGGTACAACTCAAACACGCCGCAAAGCTCAGAAAAAAAAAAGAGGGCAAGCTGAAAAGAAATTTGTTGTGCCAGACTCTGCAGTGGGACTTTGGAAGATTCACCCTTGGCCAGGTGCAGGAGCCACAGATTCTTCTTATGCCAAAGCAGTGGGACTGACCCCACGTGTGCAGCAGATCTGACACAAACACACGTCCCGAGGGCATCGCACGTGCAAGTCGTGTGTGCGGGGATCCTGGTGTGTCCGGGATGTATCAGAGGTGCTGAGCAGGTGGCTGGCACGTGTTGCAGGAACCATAGACACCATCAAAAGCCTGCCAGGCTCCTGGCGTCCATGCACAGTCCCTCTGTCTGTCCAGGACTTAGCAGAGGCAGCGCCCAGAGCTGATCGGTGCAGTTCCTTCTCCAGGATTTGCAGATATGCGGCAGCCCGGTCTGTGAGCCGTGCAGATAACAGGTTACTGCTAAGTGCAGTAGGAGAGTAGAGCTGGCAGCTGCATTGTAACAAAACCCTGTTTGTGCTTCCCTCGTCTTCAGCTTTCTCTCTACATTGTGGGTTTGATCTGCGCCCTAGGGAACAGGACTTCCAGGGTGTGCAGTGGGTTATCCTCAGAGAAGGACGGCGTGCAGTCAGGCTAACAACCGACACACCGTTGGATCAAGCAGGGTGGGGAGGAGAACACAAGCCCAGGTTTTTCCAGGGCTGATTTGCAACCCTTACAACACACAGGCCAAATTTTGCTCGCAGCCAGCCAGCCTCCTGCAAACGCTCTGCCCAGCACATCGAGAATGAGCTGCGGAGATCTCCGTGCGTTCCCTGGGACGGAATGAAGGCTGGGGCTTCACCTCAGTGCCGGGGTGGAAAACCTTCGTGAGCTTGGGCTGCACGAGGTGCACATCAGAGGCTGCACCTGGAGAGCTCCAGAGGTGGTTCTCTGCTGGGGTCCTCTGCCCTGGTATGATACAGAGCTGGGTTTGGCAGGTGTCCTGGTGTGACTCAGCACCCTCAGCTCGTTTACTTCCACAGCTAGAAGTCTGCATTGCTCGGGAGCCCTTGTGCTATCAGTCATATGATGTGGCCGTGGCTTGGGGAGCTGCACTCTAGCTGCTTGGGAACCACGCGTGGCTCCAGGTTGCAGATGGACCTTTCCTGTTTTGAGGGAGTCCAGATGTTTCTGATCAGATTATTTCTGCAAATCTGGATAGAAGGGATGGATACCAGCTGGAATGACTCGTCTGCATCAAGCTCCCAGGCTCTTGTTCTGCTGCTGGGGGAGATCTGTTGCTGGTATTTCAAAAGCAGCAAAATCTTCAGTAACTTCCCCATCGCCTTGTCCCCATGTTTCTGGTCTTAAGTGGAAACTGGTAAACAAAGGGGCTGGAAGAGATCCATATCAAAGCTTGGCCACAAACAGCTTATTCCTTGAGTCATGAGGCTCCAGTCTAAAATGTTTAAAAATAAACAGCTCTGGAGGCTGGGAGGAGAACAATATTATAAACACTTCCCCGCCTGCCCCCAGCCTAGGAAATCACATATTGCATTCCTGAAGCTTCTTTTCTGTGTCTATGGGGTCAATAAAATGCTTCACCCCGAGCTAAATCCTTCAGAAGAGGTGATGGCAAACAATGAACAAAGGATTTCCTCTGTCGTGGCAACAGGTTCCGTGCAGGCAGATGTCCCTGAGCAGTGGTCACACAGAGCTAAATCAACATGTACCCTCCAGCCTGGCAGCGCATCCGAATCATTACGTCTTTACGTTCCCTTCCTCTATTTTATAAATACCATTTGTTGGGGGTTTTGGTGCTGTTTTTTTTCCTTTTCCCTTTTGCAAGTAAGAACCGTGCTGCCTTTCATGCACCATGACCGCGTCACCTGCTCCTTTATTTAGGTCTGTGCCAAAACAACTCCGCAACCAAGGACACTTTGCTAGAGAAAGGGGTCACCTGTTTGATTGCGAAAGTTGCTTCTTTGCTTATTTTGGAGCTGCTTGGATTTAACCTGCCATGCTCACAAACTGAATGGTGTCCCCAGGCTGTCACGCCTATGACTGCCTGCCTCCGTTCTATACCAGTGAGGAAAACCCTGGATAAAATAAGACATTTGCAAATGCAGTGATGTGCGAACTAGCTCCAGATACTTAGTTAGCAACAGCGGTTTGATTTACCGTGGTGCTGGGTTGGATGGTAGAAATACGAAGCTGGAGAGACAAAGATGTTGGAGGAGACAAATCACGGGAGCGAGACAGGTACCACACAACGCGATGGGTGGCAAATACTTACTTTAAGGGACAACATCACCTAAAGCTCAGTTCCGCGTAGGAAATCTTATAATCAAGGCCTCCTGAATGTTTCTGTGCTGCGTTTAGCATTTTAATTTCCTGCAGGGGAAAAAAAAAAAAGCATCATTTTCTCTCCAGGATGATGAAAATTAGGTACCAAAGACTACAATTAAGAATCTAATTAGGCTGCTTTTTCAGAATGTCTGCTCTCCTGCTAACACCAAAAATGTTGGCCAGAATTTTGCACAAATGTTTTCCTACAGTGTTTACAGTCCTTTTGGCCGGTGCATGCGAACTGGAAATGGGCTGGAAAGTGCCATTAGAGGAGACTGGGTTCCAGCAAGATGTGGTGTGCGGCAGAAACCAGGGACTCCCACAACGAAAATTAGTCTGGCCTGTAAAATAGATTCAGCCTTAGTCACCAGCTGAAATGCCGTGAAACACAAGGGGAAAATGGTGGGTTTAAGTGATTGCAGACCTGAGGCAAGGTTTGTGTTTACCAAATGTTTGGTTTCTCTGTCAGTCCATTTAACAAATAACCTGGTTTCTGCCTGCCAAACCTGCACAGTTGTAACATTCTGGACCTTTGAGATATTTTCTGTAAGAGCTGATGCTGCTCTTGGGTACTGGGGCAGAAAGGATGGTCAGAGCAGGATATCTGCATTAAAACAGCTCCTGAGAGCAAGAACCAGCGTGGGTTTTGTGAGCTGCCCTACCAGAATTGCTGGGGGAACCAAAGCATATTTCCATGACAGGGTACAACTGCTGCTCTAGCTGGTGGTGGGAGTGTTGTGACCACCACCCAGGCCCACTGACCAATTTTGTTTGTCCTCAGGTTCGCCCGCTTTTCTACCTGAGCCTCTCTGACCTATTTCTGGGCATGTGCTGGCTCGCTGGGGCGGTTCTCTACAGCACCCCGACCTCCAGGCAGGATCTCATCTGCTACAACTTGCAAGCGACAGGACAGGTGAGTAGCCTTGGCGTCACCTTTCGTGCTGCAAGGGTGCGCTCTTTGCCATTGTAAGCCTCGCCGGTGAGCGGAGCGTGGCCGCGGGGGAACTGTTTCGAGACAGGCTTTGGCAGAGAACTTGACTTGTTCGGATCTTTTTGCCTCGCCTATAAAACAGAGGCAGAGCGATGCCTGAGCTGAGATCCGTCTGGTTTGTGAGAGCCAATGAGGAAGGCAAAGAGAGGCTGGGGTGCTGCGGTTGCTTCATTCGGGTTGCTTATGTAAAGTGAGTAGATGGGTCTTAATCTATTTCCTGTTTGGACCCGTGCCGTTGGACCCGTGCCGACGATGATGTCTGTGCCTCTCGCACGGCAGCTTTTTTATTCCTCTTTGTGCTTCCTCCATCCTGGGCAGGACCAGGCACATTCTGCGATCCGCTTGAGCTCAGGTTTACAGCATTACTCGTAGGAACAACTCTGCTCTTGCTGACCTGGCCCTCTTCTCTCTCAAACAACCCCAAGGATGCTCAGGAGCTGCTCCGTCAGCACAAGCTCAGCCCCGTGCCCCAGCGATTCGGCTGCTTTCCAGCTGAGTTTGTGTGCTGGAGCCTAATTGGACTGGAGCGAGGGAAATACCCTGTTCCTGACAAGTTTGCTTTTGTCTCGCCGGGTTCCCATGTCAGCTCTGCAAATCACTGCTCTCGAAAAACTCTGCGGGGTACAGCCAAGCTTGGACTGGAGCGGCGGTTCACAAGCAGTTATCTCTGGGCTTAAGAGCTTCCTTTTAAAGGACCCACAAAAACGTGGCTGGGGAGGGACAAGTGGCTGCCAGAGCCTCGATGTGTGTTGTGTGGGATCCCTGGGAGCGAGCTGGTACCCACAGATGGGAACTGAAACCTCCTCGCTGAGCGGCAGCATCCCAAGCTGGAGAGGTTCTCCGTGTACACCGGCGAGGGCAGGGAAGCATTCACGCTGTTGTGTGTCTGGGAGTGGGTGTCTGCAGTGCTGAAGTTGCTTCAGCAGGTGTTCTTGTGGGTAAAACCGTAATAATCGTGATGGAGAGAGCATCTGCTCTGCTCCTGGCTTAGCTCTGGTTCTTCCAGCTTCCCTGTGCCACTGTGGAAACTCCACAGTGAGAGAAGGCAGTGGGGTGTGGGTAAAGTGGTCACCTGGGAATGATGCAGAAGAATATCAAAGATGGTTTTTAGAGGGTGGCACAGAGGAGAAGAGCTTGGGAGAAGCATTTCAGAGCTGGAAGGTGGAAGGAGCTAGCAGGACTGAGGGCGTTTCTCAGCTCTTTCCAAAAGCCTGGGGGACAGTTCTTAATGCTGGTGCGATCTTTTTATGGCCTGGAGAAGACAGGCTGCACTGCTAGAGCAGATGGATAATAGATCCATCAGCTCTCCGTCATTTCTCAGCCGTGACACTGAGAGTGTGCTACGCTCCCGCGCATTTCTGGCTCTTTTCTGCCCTTGTTTTTCCAGCCTGTGGCCGTGCTTCTCGCAGACGTCGCCAAGGGATGGGGGCAAGGTGGGACCTTTACTTCCACCCTGGGGAAGGCAGCGTGGGCAGGCAGAGCTGGCCTTGGGCGAGTCCTTGTAGGACTCTCAGGTTGCCCAGAGAAGTTGTGGAAATTCTGGAAGTATTCAAGGCCGGGTTGAATGAAGCTTTGAGCAAGTTGGTTTAGTGGGAGGTGCCGTGCCCGTGGCAGGGGGCTTGGAACGAGATGATCTTTAAGGTCCCTTCCAACCCAAACCATTCTATGATTCTACGACTTGCTTTTGCCTCAGCCCCACGGGGGAACAGTCAGGGTGCTGAGGTGGGGTGTGCAGAATTCCTGCTCCATCTTCCCCTCAGCCACAGGGTTACCAGGCCACCAGCAGAGCACCCCTGGCAGGAGGAAGGTCAGGGTGGCAGAGCCGGCTTACATCTGGCAAGAGCCGCTGCTGTTTGCTCTGGAAGAAATTAAAACAAGTGGAGCACTTGCCATGGCAACCATGCCCGCATGTGACGCAGTGGAGGACACCTCCTCACTAAACACCCCGGCAATGCCCTTGCCTGGTGGGAACACCTTGTGCATAAGTAGGAGCCAGTAACAGGTTTAACCAGCAGCTTCTACAGAGCATAAGTGATCTGTAACTGAAGGCAATGAGTAAACGTCTCCTGGCCCCGTTCTGCTGAGCGGAGAAGTCTCCCTAGGTTTGCTTTTCTGGGTGTCTCGTTAACGCACGCGGCTTCTTCGCACGCCAACGCCTCAAAGATGTAGAATGCACGAGAGTGGGAAGAGGGTCCGGACGGCTCGGCCGTGGTGTTTGCAGGGGCAGCCCCTGCAGAGACTCACAGCCCACGTGCTGTGGTTGTCTCAAGACATTGCCTTGGGAGCAGGACGATATTTTGGCTTATTCAGCCTGTTTACCATCGCTTTATCGCCAGGGGTTAATGCTGTGGCAGGTGGAACTCCCCTAACCATGTCGTAAAGGAGGAGATTGCTTTGTTTCTTGGACTTTCTCTGTTTCAGCCTCAGACTCTTGGTTGATATTAAATGTAAACACTGCTCCCTTCTGCCGTCCCCTGACTCTGTTTCCTCCTCCTCCCTGCCTTGCCTTTGCGTTACAGTAATAAAGTCCAGAATAGAGACTGGGGTTATAATTGCACAATCCCCCCACATTCTTCCAGTTCAGTTCCAGTGGCCTAATAATGTCCTGGCAGGCTTCGCTCACGCCGCTGAGCACAATGGGGAGCTGCAGAAGTGTTATAATGAGGGACTCCCAGCCCTTGCTCTGCCTCCTCACGGCTGCCCACCGCCCTGAACCCGGGGCTCAGGAGAAGCAAAACTCCCTTTGCTTTCTGCTGGCAACTTCACGAGTGGCTTTTGGATCCCTCTTCCACAAAAAAAAATTTTAAAAAGGCATCGCTGGCGTCTCTCCGGGGCGTTCTGAAGCGCAAGGGACCAATCTTTGCGGACTGTTTTGATGACCTTCCCTGGAAGTAACTGAAGGGCAACAAACCCTCATTAAACCTCGTCTAATGAGCTGGAAACTCAGTGCAGTGTTCCTGCTGCAGCGTTGCAGCCCCTTGGACTCAGCCTCTTCAGAATCAGCCAAGAACGTCTGCAACCTCTGTCAAGGCAACCGAGGTTATTAAGTGACTACTTAACCAAGCTTAGATGATACCAGGGTGACAAACCTATGCTCTTGGCAAAGGATAGCAAATCCACAGAAAAAAAAAAAAAAAATCCCTTTTCCAGCCCTTCCTCTTTGCCTGTGCCACCGAAGCATGTGTTTCCTGTACCAAACCCAGCACATGCATATCGACAGTGTGATCAGGCAGCTCTTGTTTATACGTGACTGCCTGGAGCAACCATGGATTCAGGGAAAAAAAAAAAAAAGTGAGAAATATTTGGGGCTGTTTCATAGGAGATTTGAGATATTTGGTCTTGCCTCAAGCTGGAAAAAAAGTTGGGAAACTATATTCTGTATCTTTACTCCTTTTTCCTGCAGAGAGAAAAGGGCTCTTGGCGATGTTAAATCAGGCTTAGTGCAGATATCCTCTGCCCTCACTTTCTTCTTTAAATATGCTATTGTTACCTGTTTCCGTCAATTCACTGTGTAGCGAGCTCATCGTGTGAGGAACAAACCCAAGTGCCGCGTCTGCATCGTGTTTCCTAATGGATGTAGCGCAGAGAAAGTCCGAGAGCCTTTGGGCCAAAGAATGAGCCAAGGCACAAATATTTGTAATTTTAAGGCAGTCTGCTGTCATTAGCTCTCCTGTCCCTGGTTTGAGCCCACAGTGAAGCTGCCTTTGTGCGGTCTGAGGTGGGACCCGCCTGGCTCTTCCCAGTTGGTGTCCCAGTGCAACCCAGTGGACACCAGCACAAGGGCTCTGCAGCCTTTGGCAGCCCACCGTGCCGATTAGCCTGGGCTTTGGGTTCTTCAGCGATTCAATAAAAGTGCTGTCATGATAGGACTGAAACACCATCTGTATTTCTCAGATATTCTACGTGGCCTCTTTCCTGTACACCGTCAACTACACCTGGCACCTCTACATGGACCTAAAGATGAAATACAATCAGAACCTCTTCAGGATGCCCCCTCAGGTGAGTAGGACTGATGTGCAGCAACTGCTGGGTATCAAGGTCCAGCTGTGGGGTGGTGGGGGGCTTTTGGAGGTGCCCCCATACCAGTGTATCTCCCTGCTTCAAGGACTTTGAGGACCCTCCTGCCCCATGGCTCTATGAATTGACGTCCTACCCACTGAGGTCAGCAGGGCAGCTGGATCTGCTGTAGCGTCTCAGGGGCAGATTAAGCTCGCAAGACTAAAGCAGATAAAGGCCAATGGTGTCTCAGGGCAGGGAGAGCTCGGGACTGGGTATTGGTGAAGCTCTTTCAGTTAGAAGAGCAGCAGTTTGCACCAGCCAAGTAACTGGCTCGTTGCTGTCGCTGCCTTCTGCCACTGCCTGGCAGAGGGGACAGGGAAGCTGGGGTTGCCTGGACAGCCTGGAGTTTCTGTCCTTCCTGGGTGGACAGCCTGGAATTTCTGTCCTTCCTGGGTGCCACACGGCCTTCAAGAGTGTCAGTAAGTGTCGTAAGACTTTGAGATGGGAGGCATGATGGAAGCAAGCCAGACATAAAAGAACCCGTTGGCTTGGTGATCCATGGCCAGTCCTCACCTCATCATCGCTGGCCTTTACAAAAGCCCTTTGGGGAACCAGCGTAATCGCTGGGAACCGAGGAACAAGGACGTAGCACTCAGAAAAATATTCTCCGTGTTGCAGGCTGAACAAACACTTCACATGCCGCATGACCGCGATTTCGCCCTGCGGTTGTTTGGCTCCTCACACCCGGCCAAGCAGCGAGGCAGCGTTGTCGCTGCAGCCCGTGTTGCTCCTGATGTGTTGCTGCAAGACGAGAGGTTCCTCGTGTGGCTCTTCCCATTGAACCCATCAGCCTCATTTTCCCGTATCACCTTTCTCTTCCCTAGAGATTTGCAAGCTTTGTATCCCAGAGATTCCATCTATCTGTTCGGGAGCAGCAGATCAGTCTCTATTTTAATCACTCACGTCCGTAGGGTTTGGATCGACTTGTAGGACTGGTTTTCCTTCTTGCTGGACCCCAAAACTCAACACCTACCATAGGTTCCTCACCGCTACGGCTGTGCCCATCTGGTGGTGTTGTAGCTGCCAAAGTACCTTTCCTGGTGAGCAGAGACCAGGACACTCCCCATCACCTGCATTTCTTCATCGGAACATGAAGTTTCGGAGGAGCAGGGCTAGGTTAAGTGAGTAAGCAGTACAAAAAAATGAGTAAGTTACACCAGAGGGCTCATCAAGTGTCTGCTCCTTGTCCAGTTCCAAGCTCCTTTCTTGAGTCCTTGAGCCTTGTCCAGTTCCAAGCTCCCTTCTTGAGTCCTTGAGCCTTGAAGGTTAATGAGGCCATCAGCGGGTGGGAGCATTGGTTGTTTCTGTCGCAAATCAGTGCAGACTGAACTCGGCCATGTTGGTTCAGCGCAAAGTGGAAACAAGTATTTGGGCTCAGTGTGGGGATTAATCAGCCTTTGAAGGACCCTTCGCTGCTGAAGTGCTGCCTGGGAGCTGGCTCCTGTGAACTCTCCAGAAACGATTGTTTAATTAAGCTCTTTGGATTTTGCAGGTTGTGGATTATGCGAGTTGCATTGGCCGAATAGCAACGATCTTGTCCAGGTAAGATTTAATTCTCTCTGGCAGAATGACGTGGTTTTTGGTAAACTGTAGTGTGCTGATCTCTGCTTCCTGCTTATTTAGAAGGAAGTTTTACCAAACCCCATAGAACTCATCAGCAACAGCTGAGTGACCCAACAGGCTCTGAGTAAGACGTTTTGGGTGTCAGGGCTTTCTCCAGCCAAAAGTTCGTTATAACTCTATATCAACTATATGTAATTTTTCAGAAGCTGCTGCCTTTACCAATGTACTGCCTGCATGAATGAAAGTGCAGAATTTAGTAAAGCTGATAAAATACTTTCCCAGAGCAGTGTCAGTAAAACCAATTTTTGAGTCCTCTGTAGTGACAGGAGAAAAACTGCGTGGTGTTGGGTTGGGGATGGGAGCAGTGCAACAACTAAACTCTGCTGTCGTCCTTTCTCCTCGCAGCCTGATCCCTTTCCTGCTCATGGTGCCTGTGTTTTGCCTGGGCAACAGTAGTAATTGCTACCAGAACTTCAGCCAGAAGCACGGGTAAGCTCCCCATGTCCCTGAAACAGTCCCGTTGCCCGTGAGCCGCGGCAGGAGCTCAGACTCTTCCCTTTCTCCCCGCAGGTGTCTCCTGATGCACACGGAGGTGGCCGTGCCCACCAACGAGCCGCAAACCCTCAGTGGCTCTGTTTGCCGTGCGATGCATTTCTATGGCATCGGAGTCTTCCTCATTTCCTTTCTGATCAGCTTCGTAGCCATTCTGGTAAGAAACACAGTCCTTGCACACTAGCCCGTGCACCCAGATTGTCAGCATGAGAAGATTTTCCCCTTTTCATCTTTATATTATATCTTCACTTGGATGGTTCCAGAGACCAGGCAATGTCAGGGGAAGAACCTTATGGTGCTGCTTTTCCCTTTTGGGAGGGGTGGCAGGAGGGAGAAAATGCCCTTGTGCCGCCGTGTAAATCCATCTGGAGTCCTGTGTTCTGTCAACTCCCCCGAAAAAAAATGATTTAGCAGGTAGAGAGGGCTCAGAGCATGGGTCAAAGGGAGCCCAGTTGAGTTAATTTAAAAAAAAAGTCATGTACAAAGCAATTTCTCTCGCCCAGGGACCACGCTGTTGTGTGAAAAGGTGCCATAGATTGACACAGGGTGCTCTGTCCTGGATGCACAAGGCAGAGCACGGGCACAAAGTACAAGCAATGACATATCTGCTTGTTTTTGTTTTTTTTCTTTAGGTTATACTCAGTCAAGCCCGAGGTTTGTACAAAAGGTTTGTGAACTCCACAGGATTCCTGGGGGATCAGCAGTGGGCCATGATTAAGATGGTAGAACAACGAGTGGTGTTTTACCCCGTCGCATTCTTCTGCTGCTGGGCCCCAGGTTAGCGGAGAGCTGAGTTCCTTCCACACTATCCCCCTCGAGCGCGGTGCCTGGCAGAGGTGGGGTTAAAGCAGCACCCTCTTGTCCATCCCTTTTCACAGCTGTCCTCCTGGCTATACTGAAGCTGACTGTTTCGACAAACACCAAAATCTACATGGCTCTTCTAATCCTGCAGGTAAGTGTCTTCCTCTGCAGCCTCCTGTGGCTCCCCCCCCCCCCTTATCGGCTGGAGAAGCCTGTTCCGAGCCCTGACTCACTGCTGGGTGAACCTAAGGCTGATCTATGCTGTTGATTAGCAAACATCTTTATTAGTTGCTTTATGTTTTTCATGGGCTCAAAAAGCTCTCACTAACTGAAATCCCAGCATCATGGAAATTGTAGAAAACAGGACTAGAAAGGATCCCCAGAGATCAGTTATTTTTTGGTTTGGTTTTTTCTCCTCTTTCTCTGAAATGCAATTCCTCCACAACATTTATCCAGCTCCTTGCCATGCCTGAGCCATCATTTAGCAAAGATCATTGAAACAACCGCGAGATTCCTGTATCCCATGAGGATGCGGATCGATAAACTCATGGTGGAACCGCGCTGCGGTTGTCGGTGGGGTGTTGAGCCGTGCCGGCTGAGCAGAGAGCCCTCATCTCCCCCGGGGTCTCTTCACAGGCTCTGACAGCAGCTTCTCAGGGGCTTCTGAACTGCATCGTGTACGGTTGGACGCAGCACATCTTCCTGTCGCTCAAACGCAACGCCTGCCGCGACGTTGACACTCAGACTCCTCTCCTGCGCTCGCAGAAGAAGTCCTACGCCAGCACACTCCCCGCCAGCCCACCGGAGGCAGAGGGGTCCACGTCCACCCTGCTCTGACGGACGTCAGAGGAGGACAGGGAGCATCCCGGCGAGGTCTCGTCGTGTTTTAGCAACACCATCCAGACCCGGCGTGTCGGGGTTGTTGGCTGCGAACTGTCTCGCCGGCAGCAAACGTAGCTGTAGCGCAGGAGGAGCCCAAGCAGATCGGTCGGAGATGGACACGTCGTTGAGGGTAGTTATTTATTTTGCGGGTTTGTACGGACTGCAGACGGATTCTTTCAACACGGTAAATCTTTAGTACAGACTTTGTCCTTATGGAAATATCTCTAGGAATGCAGCAAATTCTATGTAACAGCACAGAGATCTGGTACAGCTCCTTGGAGGGTAGGTGGTCAAAGGATGTTTTACTTCTTTAAGTATTTGCCATTGCAAGTAAAGCAAAGGTGAATATTTTGCAATGTCTGACTTTTAATTCGCTATAAAAAAATAAGTGCATGCCACGCTCATAGCCAACTGCAAAAATGAAGAATTGCAAAGCAGCATAAAAAAATCAGCGCTCCCTGCCATGCCTCAACTTTTTGCACATTTCCATTCTGTTCTTCGTGCCAACTCCTGCTACAATGCCCAGAAAAATAAGCTTTGTTGACTCGGCGGAGCATCTCTCATGAACCAGGTGAGCAGGACTTTGCATGGATCTGTCTATACTCTTCAAGATGCTCAATGAATTACTTACTAAGGTCCCACTTATAGAAAATAAACCAGATCTTTAGCTGCATTGAAAACAACTCTCTCAGTTTTACACTCTTTATTTTCTAACAAACAGCTTCATTTTTTGGTCCAACCCAAATTTATTTACATAGCAGGTAACACAAGAAGAGGAAATACTCAAGGTTCGTGTAATCAACTTTCATACAGTTTACACAGTTACATTGGGTAAATGACTTTGTGGAAAATGTCCTGGGACTAGCAGTCCAGCTCCAGAGGCATGCCCACAGCACCGGTAGCCCTTTCCAAACCACAGCTGGTGGGTTTTCCGCTGCTTTCATGGGGTTTTTTTTGAACATGTTATTCTTCCATACTCTGCCTCTCAGCTGCAGGAGTCTCACTTCTCCCTCTGGCTAAACTCATAATGCAAAATGCAGCCTTTGCCTCTCTGTGTTTGGTTACAGTGATGAGGAGAGCAATCAGAATGAGGGCAATGGGAACCACGATCCCAATTACCGTCTCAGATGCTTTATTTTCAACCACGTCCACCATGGACATGGTGAGAAACAGCAGAGAACAGCTCCCCACGCTCCCTCCCAGGCTGTGGAACAGGCAGCATTGGAGGTTGTTGCAAACCCCTTTTCCCCCTGCACAAAAACCTTCCCCTCGCATCGTGTTTTGATCGTGGCAGCTGTGCTCAAGGAGCTTTTTTTTTATTGGGGCTGTGCCTCAGCCCCAATCCTCAGCCCCTGCCTGATGGGTTCAGCCCCCTCCAGATACGCTGCCACATGGAGGGTGTTGACATCCCCCACGGGCAACTTCGGTTCCATCACCCCCTCAGTTGCCAGATCAGTCCCTTTTCATGTTCTGCTTTTTTGAAGCTGGAACACCCTGACAAGGAACCCCAAACACCACCTGTGTCCCCAGGGCTGGACCTGCCCTGTTGCTGTACCAGGACCTGGAAACGTTTCACCTTCCTGGAGCATTTTGTACATCACTGGCCCAGGAACTGCCTCCTCCCTCTGCAACAGAAGATGCTCAGCCATGGCGGGAGCTGCAGGGGGCTCGATGCTGTCACTTGGGTTTCCAACCTGCATCAGGTGTCCAAGCCCAGAGCAGGCAGCCCAAGTCACCGTGGAGTCCAGGTGGCAGTGCTGGCACGTGGGGCTGTTTGGCCACCGTTCCCATTTGGGCTTCACAAGTGAATAGAGGCAAGTTTTCTTTAATTACACAGTCTTTCTGCCTGAGGTGAATCGTGTGATTTGCCCTCCCTCCCCTCCTGAATGCTGATAGCATTGGACACTTCATCCTGCCCGATTTTCCCTGCCTTGAGGCCAAGGTTCCTTGGAATGACTATCTCATGGGGCTTCAAACCCAAACACTCCAGGGGGCGAAGGGGACGCGCTCCCTGACCCCAGCACAGGCAGGGGCGAGCAGCACATGAAATACATCCTCATCGCCAAGAGCTGGCTGCGCCTTACTCAGGCTGACCCCGTTTGCTGAGAGCGTGACGAGCCAGCGCTGCTAACAGCAATTTGTTTAAAAGGGGATTAAACGTTCGTAAGTGGAAAGCAATGAAAGATTACTGGGGAAACAATGATTTGGTTGGTAATGGGACCTGCAGCTGCAGGGTGAGAGCCTCTGGTGGCTGGTGACAGATGTCATAGGGCTCCTCACTCAGCTGAGCACATCACTGAATGTTTTAATTATTTGAGGGGAGTTTTCTTGCTGGAAGGGAGAAGCATTCCTTGGGTGATGCATCCTCCTGGGAGTAGGGGGAGAGTCTTTTCCTGTGCCACTTCTGTGGAGCACTTGCAGCTGTCTTTGGAAATAAAGATCTGGGAGTATTTGTTTTCTCACTCCCCCTCCCAAAGCTACGGATGCTCTGACAGTCACTCCCAGTCTAACACACTCTTAACTCCTCAAAAGTACCAAGCCGATGGGTGTTACCTCTCACAAAGGTGGTGGCCTGGGGCACATGGGTGCTCACAGCTGTCCCACCGCTTCTCTTCGGTGCCACTTTTGGTCTGTAATGCTCCTGTGACAAGGTCGTTGACAACAAGCCAGTCAAACCATGTTTGAGGGTAATAAAAATATTTCCAGACGTGTACAACGTAGTCCTAAAGCCTCCAGTTCCCTGTTCCCGCCCCCAAAAACCCACCAAGAATGGAGGAGTTGCTATAGCCGATAGGGGAAATGTCTCTGAACACAAAACCACCCATCCCTCCCTTCCCGACTGCCCAAAGCTCCAAGAAAAAAATCTTTTAGACCTTGGAAGGGTTAACCTTAGCACTGGTCACGGGCTGCTGCCATCTAATGGAAAGCAGCGTTTAAAAAAGGCAGTTTCAGGTTAGTTTTGGCAGGCAGAAAGCAAGATTTTTCTGGTGCCTTACCCAGCCCATCTTGTCAGGCATCCTTTCACCTCAAAACCTCACAGCACTCCTGCAAAATAAAAAAGCAAAGAGCTTCAAACCACAGCTGTCCTTCCTTCCTTCTGCACCATGGGGACTCGGGAACCAAACAAAAGCAGCCAGGACCTTTTAAGTTTAGTAAAATCATTTATATACACCAATGCATAATATTTACAATATAATACTGATCCAGAATGAACGAACATGTTACAGGTAACACTGGAAAAGGGAAATGAAAACGTTTTAATACATAGAAGTTAAACGTGGCATATGAGGACAGAAGATTCCCAGAAGAAAAACCTGAAGTAATGACAGCAAAACTTTTGACATGTTGCTATTTCCAATCAAAAACTCTTTCGCCTAGTCAAGTTCTTCTAACTTTATATATATATAGAGAGAGCTTAAAATAATCAAGTCACAGGAGAAGTCAGATATACATAAAATTTTGAAAAGGTCAAATGATTTCAAAGATTTTTCTCTTAAATAAAACTCTAAAAAAACCCTCCCCAAACCTACAGAGCTTTTCCATATGCTTTTAGTGTTTGTACAAAGAATGTCTTCTTTGATCCCACACAACCCTTCCCTCTCAAGATATTTACAATATTCACAGTCTGCTATAAAGGATCAGTAGATTTATTACCAAGTAAAACCTTACATAATCAAGTCAAGATATCTTGCATTTATTCAACTGAACAGTAAAAAACACAGGAAGGAGAAAGTAAAACACTACTCTAAAATGTATGTAAATGAATCTGTTAAAGTGTATTTAATTTTGAAATATAAACCATAACTTTTTTAAGAGTAAAAAAAAAAAGGAATAAAAATCAACTTTCTCATAGAAATAAAACCATTTGACCTTGAATCTTCAAATCGTGTTTTCTCAACCCACTTCTCCCTACCTCCGTTTTCGATCAGGCCATTCTTATTTATCACAGGCAGCAACATCTACAGTAAATTCAGAAAACACAGTCCCTTTCCACAAAAGCCCTTGAAGATTTAACTTCCCTCCAGACATCAAACCAGTTTGGTGTCGGTCGCAAACGTACCCACCTGGCTGGCAGCAGCAGCTTGAAATTATTCTGCTGTGCAAGTTAAGGGGCGAGGAAGAAGCCTCTAAGATATCCAGATCCCACCTTCCCTGCTTCTTTTTGAGCCGCCTTTTTGAGCTCCCCACCGCACCAGACACAAGCTGGTGCCGCAGAAACAGGCTGAAACGAATCCTTAGAGACCACCAGACAAACACCTACAAACCTCGCCGCCCTCATCTTCAGCATTAGAGAACCTGACAGAGAGAAAACGGGTCTCAGCGTTTTCTCTCCGTTTTTCACCCCGCGTTGCTCACAAAGTGGACTGCATGGGGCTGTGAGCTCTGCCAACTGCACTCTGAGAGGAAGTACCAGCCCGATCCACTTCAGCAAGTCCTGGTTCTCAAGAAACTGCCCGAGTCTTTTCCTCTTCGGAGGGTGGAGTTGCAAAGAGCTCTCATAGGGAATTTCTTGGTTTCTTTCTCTATTTGCCGTACTTAGAAGTTCCGATACAATCAGATTGCCCAGAAAAACACAAGGATGTCATCAAGTTAAAAAGGAAAACGATCGATCACATTTAAAGGTTGTGTGGATGTTGACGTGACCTAGAATTTAGGGCAAGAATAGAAATGCATAGAACAGGGCCTGCAAACTTGCCGATCCTAGCAAAAAATGATAAATACACTTGGCCTTGCTAATTCTCTGCAGTCGTCATCAATAGGTGTCAGTGCACAGATATTCCATGTAGTGTCAGAGGTACAAAACCTCCCTGTTTCCATCAGAGAAGGTGATGGTTAAGCAGGGACTGTGGTTCTTACTCTACAATAAAACCAGGCGTTGGAAAACGGTCAACAAGAATAAAAGAAAGCTGACATGGTGCTGACAAAGAATGCAAAACAAAGTATCTCCTTCATGT